AGCTTTCACGTCACCATAACTTCATTAGTAGTAGTAAACATGTACGGATTTGGCCAACTGTCACTCAAAGCCAAGGAGGGCGGAGCCAAACCCGATCCAACCAATCGCAGCGCAGCAGGGCGGGGCCTACCCCAATCCGACCAATCACAGAGCAGTGGGGCGGGGCCCCTCCTCCCTCCCATCCCAGTGACCAATGACATCGATGGCCCCCCCCACAGGGAATTAGCCAGTGACCAATCGTAGCTAATCGAGGTCCCGCCCTCTAGCCACGTACGCGGTATAGGTGTGAGGTCACGTAGCCAATGTTAACACCTCGTTAAGGATGTTAACACATGCTTAACAAGGTGTTGACAGCCGATGTATCAGTCTTGTCAGAAGTGTCAGAAGCGGGGGAAAGACACGTACAGGGATGTCATCAGCACGGCTCCCATCACGTGATTTCTAACCACGTGATTTCCCCGGGTTCGAGTTGCGTCCGTCAGGAGGCGCTCACGTGATGTCACACAGGGTTCGTGTTGCATCCGACAGAGGGCGCTGCGCCGCGGTCACGTGATGGTCACGTGACATTATTTGAATCTCTCCGCGGTAAATGGCTTTTATTCGCTAAAAAAGGCTCTGCGGCGGCTGGGGATCGACCTCGCTACCTTGTGCACAGGATCCCGACATTCCACCCCCTGAGCTAGAAGCACATTACTTCCTAGAGGGAAGTAATGTGCTTTTCGTGTGTTTCACACACGAACAACTACTCTTCGTAGTTGTTCGTGTGTGAAAATCAGATCACGTGTTTTCCCGCTACTTGGCTTTTGTAATACGGGTAAAAAAAAAGCAGGATACGTCATTGCCGCAGTTCATGTGACGATGGTCGTGTAATATTATTTGCATCGCTGGGCGTTGCTCGTCTTCTTATCACGTGATTTCGAGCGCGCGCGCGCGATTCAAACGCTGCTCGCGGACTTGTAGCCTCGTGGCGTCCCCTTAGCTGCTGCATTGGGGCTCGGACCCTCACTCGTGCGACGGAGCTCGATCTGACAAGATGCTCGTGCGTGAACGTCTGGATGGCTGCGAAGATCAACACACTCGATGGAGCGATGTCGAAGCCTGCGCTGCACATCGAAAAGCCAACAACAACTTCTTTGTGTCTGCGTTCGATATGTTGGTGGACCTCATAGTTTTTGGCAAGTTCATTCCATATGAAGTGGACCCCGTTGTGTTCAGGATCATATCCCAGGTCTACGAGAGCTACAAGGTGCGGGACAAGGAGTGGGAATCCCACGAGCAGCCCTTTGTGCTCTTATCCCATTGGTCGGGCAAGGTGTTGACCAAAGTGACCGCATCGGAGACGACGAACGTGGTGGAATTTATCTCGGATACACTCAAGACCATCAAACGCGCGATGCATTGTAAGCACCACATCGAAGCCACCTACATTCATTGCCTGGCCACCGATGTTCTTCGATATCGCCTGATCACCGTGGATACTCTAGACTCGTGGAAAAAAAAATAACTAACCCTATAGGATGACTGTGTGTGTGTCTCTCTCTCTCTCCTACTATTGCTAAAGAAAAGACTGGACCCTGATAGCGGTCCGGTCAGTCTGCTCTCGACCTACGTACAGATCGGTCGGCAAAAAGCGAAATGAGGGATCAGTTTTACGTGAATCTATTCTCAAATGCCTCGTCGGACATTTTTCACGACAATAGTTTGAGCAAGTTCAAGGTGCAATTGTCTCAACCTATTATATTAAACGAACCGTACGAGGTAGCCCTAGAAGAACTGAACTTCCCATTTAGCATCAAGAATGTGACGAGCCCATCTAACGCGCTGTACTTGGTCAGACCCACGGATGCCGGGAAAGTGGAAGGCACCAAAAAGCTACGAATACAGCCAAAGCAAGACTTTGCCGCGCTGGTGAAAAGCGCCCTGCGAGAGCTCTTTGGTCCCAAGACGAGCTTCGAGCGAAAAGGAAAATGTTACTCTATAGGGTTCCAGAGAAACAACGCACTGCGCATGTCCCCTACATTGTCGAAAAAACTCGGATTTGCAGAGATCGTTTTTGGAATAGGTCAGCCCGTGGAAGGCAGCCCCGTGGAGGAAGATACATTCGATCGGGAGGTCGAGGTAGAGTTGACGAGGGTTAAGCACGTGATGACACATGACCGAATTGAGATCCTCGAGGGCTTCTACGAATCGCCAGAAGATCTCATTAACGCGATAAACAGCGCCTACCAGTCTCATCTTAAGCTCAATTCCTCCAAAATATTGCTTCGTTATAATCCATACATCAAAGTCGTAGAGTTACAGTTGCACCACAGTGGGTATATCCTAATCAACGCTCACTTATCCCACATGCTTGGCTTTGGTCAGAAAAACGTGTACACTTCCTTCTCGGTGGCAGACCGTGATGTGATATTATTTCCCAGCAATTACATTTTTACCTATTGCGATATCATAGAAGCGGAGCACGTCGGCGACGTGAAAGCTCCTCTCTTGAGAGTCGTCCCATTCGTAGTGTCAAAACGTAACGAAATGATATCCTATTCTTTTAATCTACCACAATATAAGAAGGTGATCGTAAAAGAAGTTAGCACCATTTGTCTCGAGCTTGTTGGCGAGAGAGGAAGCTGCATCCCATTTCTGGACGGATCGGGTCGCGTTGCAGCCACTCTTCATTTTAGAAAATGCACGTAAAGTCCCCACCGTGTTGTTTAGAACATTTCTCGGGTTCCGGAGAAAGACCGCTGCCGCATTTTGTGTCCGGGCCCCTGTTCCAAGTTGGGAGCGGACTACTGTCGGACATTTATCAGAGGCTATCGCCAGTGTTTACAAAGCGAGTGGCCCCTTACCTGGGTCGAAAACTAGTGTCCACGGGTAGAGATATTGCAGAGCGAATGAGGCAGGGTTCTTCGTTGAAGGACGCCGTAGAGAAGGGAATTGGCCGCACGTATCGAAGCACCAGAGACGAGTTCCTCCAAAAGCTGCAGTCTGGCGGAGGACATAAAAGAAAGGCGTCCAGCCAGTGCTGTTCAGTTTCTGGACGGCAAAAGAAACGAAAGGTCGTGCATGACTTTTTCGATACCTAAAAAAATGACGGGCGATATTTTTACCCTGCACGAGCGTTCCTGTCTGTGCACCAGCGGAGAGCTCGATCTCTCCTCTCCTCCGCCTACGTCTTTCGCTTTGGAAAAGTCCGAATATATCGAATTCTTTCCGGTCGCCACAACAACACCCACTTCGGTCTTAGAATTTCACGTTCCCTCGCTAGGACCTCACTTCTACGATCTGAAATCAAGCTTCCTGCACATCCAGTCAAAAATCGTGCGAGCCAATGGCGATCCCGCGAGCACCACCGCGTTGAACGGAACTGTGACGCACGATAAGGTCATACCGGTTCAGGCATTTGGAAGCTCCCTTTTTCAATACTTACACGTGTATCTGAACCAGACTTTGGTGAGCCAGTACGAAAATTATGCTTATCGTTCCTATCTCGATATCCTCCTGCACGCAAACCAGACGAGTAGGGATCACTCTCTTTCTGCGATGTTGTACGAAAAAGACCCGGTAAATACGTCCGAAAAGCTCGACATTCCCGCCGATGCCAAGGGCCTTATGGCAAGTTTTAAACGAACCGAAGGAAGTACGCTCTGTGATTTGTTTTGTCCTCTTATGAGTGACACATGTCACCAGGACAAGCTTCTCTTGAACGGGGTGGATATTCGCATCGTGCTGCGTCAAAATACCGAAGGTTTCAGGCTCTTGGCCGCTTCGACGGTTCCCCAGAAGCACGTCGTCCAACTTCCCCGCATTGTGCTCTACATTCGACACGTGCAAGTGGCCCCGACGGTGCTTGTGGGCATCGAAAGACGTCTGCAGTCCTCTCCCGCGACTTATCTACTACGTGGGGTGGAGATCAAGACCAGAACCGTTTCTCCCGGTGTGTCGCACATTGTCCTCGACGATCTGTATCCGCATCGAGTGCCGTCAAAGCTCCTCGTCGCCTTCGTGAAGAGCGAGGCGTTTCAGGGAAGTCGCGAGCACGACCCCTCAAGCTCGAGCACTTCAACCTGAAAACGGCGGTCCTGGACGTGGGTGGCTGCCAGCAGACGGAGCAGTTTGATTTTGCTCAGGATCTCTACATGAAGGCCTATATGAGCTTCCAACACCGCCTCAATCGCAGAGACGTCCCCTACTCTAAAGGTGCCTTCTCGAAAGACTCCTTTCTGCTCTACTACATTTTGACTCCGGACAGGGAAGAGCAGAGTCTTTGTCCCATCTCCACGGCGAACGTGAGACTCACCTTGACCTTAAAGCAAGATCTAACTAAAGCCATCACCATTCTCTTTATGTCAGAAACGCCTCGCGTCCTGGAAATTGACAAGGAGAGAAACGTCAAGTTTGCCGGCTAAAATGGAAGAGCACGAATTTTACCCAATGTTCGCGGGAAATCATTGCACGCGTCCCTGGTTTCGTGGCACGTTCGCGTGCGACGAGATTGGTCAAGAGACAGCATCACCCGGTCTTTACGTAGTGAATACGGTACCGAGGTCTTCGTTCGGTGAACACTGGGTTCTTTTCTACGTGTGCCCAAAGGACAATGCAATTAGTTATTTTGACAGTTTCGGAATGATTCCGATTCATGAGGAATTTTACGACTTCATCGGAGGCGCAGCGTCCTTCTTCTACTCCAAGAAAAGAATTCAAGGGACTCTGTCGCACACGTGCGGACTTTACTGTCTCTACGTCGGTGCGCTCCTATGTTGCGGTGTACCGCTCCGCGAGTGTATCAAAACCTTCTCGGCGAGCGACTACCGACGGAACGACACACACATTTCCATACTCGTGCGCAAGCAATTTCCCTCTCCCGCTTTAAAGCTCTCCTGCTTCTCCGCCATGTAACCTGATTTTGAAATAAAGCCAGAAAAAGGACACAAAGCGAAGATGGATCTTTTTCTTTGTTTTTATTCAATAGGCATATTTTTAAGAAATTATCGAGACACGGAGAAACAAAGGGAGCGCGACAGCTCTTTATACAAGCATCAAACACTCGGCGGGGGGGAAAAACCCTCGCGCTAAATGAAAATCACACAAAAAAATGGCCCTTTACACAACCCTTTGTGTACACACGGATACATCAGTCTGAAATGATGGAGAAAAAGAAAGCACTTCACTTAGAGGCTCCAATGTCCGAAGGGAAGAGTTGAAACACCGTCGGTGTCGATGAAGCGCTTGTTGTCAAACGGGTTGAGTCCTATCTTCTCCACGGCAACAGTCTTGTTCTCGCACAACTTACGAGCGATAGTCCGCTGCGTGATCTTGTGCAGAGTTTGTTGCTCGAGAGTTTGAACGTAGAGCTCGTAGGTTAGCTTACGGTACTCGCACCTTTTCACTCCTTTCGCCCTCACATAGTGCTCTCTAGAGGCTAGTTCGAGCGAATAGAGTTTTGGTTTCAGACAAACAAATCCAAGAATGTGATCTTTTGGGAATTCATTTTTGAACACTCCTAGTTTCATTTTGTTTGCGGGAGAGAACAAGGGGTAATGGCCCGGGTACCCAGAAGTATCCAGGTGAGTTTCGGCAAGAGTCGCGAGCTTCGAGTCTACATCCGGGTCGGTGATTTGGAGAATGAAAGAGTCCGCATCACTATACGCTGCGCGAGCGTCGGGGAAAACGCGCCTGACCTGCTTGTAGAAAAATTCGTACATGACCAGTTTGGACATTTCTAGGATAGAGAAACCCGCGTACACGGGTTTGTTCAAGTGTAGCGTTCTTTGGGAAAACTGAACGATTACCACGGTCGGGCTGATTGCCGCAAACTGCCTGAGGTTAGGCTTCTGCAGGTTTTTGAGCACTTCGTCCTCGCTCACGCTAATGACAACGTTATTGTACTGGCGTGGGTTTTCGATTGTCTTGCCATAAATTGAATTCATAATGAGTTTAGATAGGTTCTTTTGAAAAGCATTTGTCGCCTGTTTTCGCAGGTTGTGGTTAAAGTCGATGAAATCTTTAAGGAATGCACTCTGCGAAAACTTTAAAACGCGATGAATGGCCTTCAGCTGTAAGCCCAACTCCAGATACAGCTTGAGATTTCGGTAGTGAATGAGAAGAGATTTGCACCCGTTATACGGTCACTGGGAAATCGAAAAGACACGCACAAGAACGTAAGAAAGACGCTGGTATTGAAGGGAGGTTTCCTACCCCTGATCCTTCCTGCTCTCCTAGGCCTCATATCAACGATCGGTTGAAGAGCCATCGCAAAGGCTATCGGGGTCTGAGAAGTATGAAAAAGTACCATCTCATACCTTACAGAGAGAACATTCCCGAGATTCTGAAAGAAGACGACGAACCGGACGACATCAAGCTAAAGAAAATAATTCAAACGCTACACAAAATGTTACGTCCGTACACGTCGAATGAGAGTAGCGCACACATTGACGAGCTTAAAGCGATACCCATTAGCACGGAAGAGCGGACAACGCAGACGAGCGAGCGTGGGGATGACCCTTCCGTCATAGTCAATTACTTGAGCAAAACCTACCGGCAAAAGGGTCGATCGCTTCTGAGGCTACTGGAACCGGTGCTCACCTGGGACCCGCAAACCTTGGAAATTTCGATCGAGGAAAAACCTCTACAGGGATCCAACATTGTGGACTTGGTTTCCTATTTAGTTTCACGTTCAAAGAAACTGCCAGTTCCGGCTCATTTCGATCGCGTCACGAGGTTATTGGTCAAAAAGAACCTGCCAGTGACCATCGTGAATCACGATCGGTTTAAAAGAAGAACCCTCAAAGCGCGGGCGACCATTCGTCGAGGTGCGTCTTCTTCTTCGGTCACTTCGCCGAAGCGCCTTCGTACCGCTTCCCCGGAGCAGCGGACTGGGTCACCGACCGCATCGCCGACCGAACCGGCTCCAGCTGATCCCGTTTCTAGCGCCGCACCTCGTGCCTCGCAGCGCCTGGTCGAGAGAGCATGGAAGAAATTCTAGACAAGGACTACTTTATCGACGAGGAAATTCTTTCCGCTTTTCACCCACGACACCGAGGGAAAGTCGAGACGCTCCTCGCCGCGATTTTCTCGGTAATTGCCTACACCCCCGAGGGAACGCTGGTGGTTCACGGAGAGCCGCTGGAGGGATCCAACATTGTAGACCTTGTGCACTACGAGCTGTACAACAGGCAGCCTCCCTGGATGAGAGGCGCGGTTTCCTCTCTCATCAATTGTCACCTGGACCTGAGTGCGTTTCGAGCTCGACACTACCGACCAACAAAGCGGTGCGCCCAGAAAGCATGTCTTCGTCACAAAAGAAGGGGAGCAAAGCCGTCTACTACGAAGCAAGTCATCCAGCCTCTTTTGGTGGAATCAACAGGCTCGCACGACATACGGGACGAAGAACGGCGGAAAAGTTTTTAGAAGGATCGAACGCGTACACGCTGTTCAGGGAAACCAAGCGCCCTCGCGTCTACCGCAAAACGCTATCCTTGGGACTTCGAGACGTCTATCAGGCTGACCTAGTGGAAATTCAAAAAATTGCCAAATACAATGATAGAAAACGATACATTTTGTTTGTGATCGATACATTCTCACGATTTCTCACCGTCGTCCCCATAGCTCGAAAGACGGGAGAGGAGGTTGTCCCGGCGTTGAAAATTGTCTTTCGCAAAATGGGGAAAAGCAAGCGTTTATGTACGGATCGTGGTCGTGAATTTTACGGAAGATTGGTCCTCTCGTTTCTGGAGAAAAACGGCATTAAACTATATTCCGTGAATTCGAAGCAAAAGGCTTCGATAGTGGAACGCGTACAACGCACCATAATGAGTCGGGTTTACAAGTACTTTGAGTATGCACGAACCAAACGATTAATCGAAATCCTCCCGGAAATCGTCAAATCTTATAATTTTAGCCATCACAGGACACTGAACGCTAGGCCGGTCGACGTTACCCCACAAAACCAGACCGAATTTTTCTTTCACTTGTTCCCCGATCCCGGACCGGTGAAAATACCTAAATTTCGCGTGGGTGAGCATGTGCGCATCTCCAAAGACCGTCACGTTCTCCTGAAGAAGTACAAGCAGTCGTTCACGGACGAGGTGTTCATCGTGGACCGAATTCGATTAGGTGTGCCCAATACCTATCACCTAGTCGATATGGTGAGAAAACAACCCGTTCTCGGCTCTTTTTACGAGGCAGAACTGCAGCGCGTTTCCCTGGCCGAAAACAAGACCTGGATCGTCGAGAAGGTTTTGAGACGTCGACGTGTGCCCCATCTGCAATACCTCGTAAAATGGAGGGGCTACGGCACCTCGCACAACAGTTGGGTTAATGCGAACGATTTTGAACAATAAAGGCGACAAAGAAAAAAACTTTTCGTGTCCTTTACGCGATGCGTCGAGCCTCGTGGGCTCTCTGCATATCGCAATACACAAACACGTAGTGACTTTTCTCATTTTTTATTCAAAAATTTTGACAGCAGAATTATAGCTTCGCGATCGAGATTTATTCCGTACAATGAGGCTCTCCTTCCTCCGATCAATCGCCGAATTTGATAGACGTTCAGAGGACATCTTCGGAGGTACATGGACTCGCTGATGATGCAGGTGCCTTCACATTCGAGATCATATTTCCGGGGAGCAAGAACGTCCACCTCATTGAGACAGTGCTTCAGCGCCTCAGTCTGATTCCTGTCCAAATTTACACCGGCTCTTTTCGGATACACACTTAAAATTTTTACACCCTTATTCGTGTAAATGGCTCGTCCTCTGGCTAACGCCTTTATTCGTGTAAGGGTGTTAGCCGCCGGAGGTGGTGAAAATCGTGTTAACTGCTAACACCCTAAAAACAATATGGCGGCCAGTATGCGACAGGCGATACGAGCCTGGCGAGCTGTACGCGGCTTCTCGCCGGAGCAAGAGCATACGGCTCGCACGCTCGTTTGGTGTCATCTGTAGGCGCAAAAAACTTTCCAAACATCTCTATGTCCAAGCGCCAACACCGCAAATAATACGAGTAAGGCCGAAACCGCTGGAGAATGAACAGCCAAGACTGTCGCCGAAGTCTCGCTCGGCCTGCTCGATGCCGGTCGCATTTTCATCGCATCAGAAGCGCTTATAAAGAAGGGATAGCTTTACAAAACACTGACAGGCTGGCTTTATTGAACAAAACACCCACTTGCCGTGGACGACAAGTTGACAACGAATCGCTCCGACACCCTCTGTCGACAGCGGCTAGGAGGTATCGCACTCGCGCTCCGTGTGGCTCTCGATTAACTATTGCCTGTGCTCACCTCTGTTACGTGCGTTATCCACTCATGAACGCTTGTGCGTGAACAGCGGCATTCAGCACCTAGAACACGCGCTGGGGAAGCCGCCTAACCTCCTTTTGTTGCAATCAGGCAGCATAACACGACGACACAGCTACCAGCGGAACCGAACAACTCGGAGCGATCAACACGACGGATGGACTAATGGCATCCAGCCCTCCAATAGTTATAGACCACCAACCGGCACACTTTTCAAATTGGGCGGCGACAACCCCCATCTAGCGACGAAAAAAAAAAGTGATCAACATTTGAAAAAAGAAAACAGCAGATTTTTTGCTGCCCACCGCGCGGTTACATTCACTTACGACATGGACATACACACAACACTGTACACACACAACGGCATACAAGCACTGATCAACTGCACAATACACAACAAATAGCACATACATCCTACTTATACAAACCAACAAGTGCCCCGAGCGGTATATATGCCCTCCTATTTCGCGCATCGGTTAGCCCGGTGACCACGCTGGTCTTAATCAAGATATGAAAAGATTACGCCAATTTTATTTTTCAATAATATTTTTTCTGTATTTGTCTTAGGTAGGTACACATATCCCTTAATAACTTCTTACAGCATAATGTATTATAATGATACGCGCCTAACTTCTAGTAACTCAACGTGAGTGACGAGAAAAAAAAAATCGTGTGAATTCTGTCTGGCAACCACACTCGCGGCGTGGTTGCTATGGCGACGCTGTCGGTACGCGCGCCGGCAGCCGTCCAGCTGGTTCGGCCGTTCGGCTACGGCCGAGTGCGCGAGTCCACGGTGAACGCCGCGAACGCAATCGAGAAAACAAAGCGTCGACTACTGAAGCTGTAAGTACGTAATCTAGTTTCCGCCCGTTCGCTGCCGAATTCTTCGTAGTCTTCTTCCGCCCGCTCGAAAGGGAGCAGCCTACCAGTCCGATTACCGCCGTGGCTTCAGTGGCTTCATCTTTGGAGGGAACTGTCAACTGAATTAGTTCCAAAACGCGGGTGCAACAGGCAGCGCAACGTGGCGCGGTCCACGCACGAAGTCGGTAAGTAAACAAAACACTCAATGCCGTTCCATTCTTTTTTTTTTTTTTTTCTACGGGGGCGCGCGGTGTTTCTGGGTGGCTCAAGGTATGGGAAAGCAACCGGAAAAATCGGCGCCTGATCGACCATGGGGTGAAAATTTCAAGGCGTATCGTATGCAAACGACAGCGTTTGCCGGTGGAAGACTCGGTCGTCCGTGGCGAAAGCATTTTTAGTATTTTTAAGGATGTTCTAGCTGCAAAAGAAAGGAGCGCCTTAAAATTTCACAAGGTAAAATACACTGCTGAGGAAACGACGCCCCTTTGCGTGCAGGCGCCGATTTTTCCGGCAGAGTTTAGCGCGCTGTGAAATGCAGTGTGCATTTAGGGAGAGTTTTGGCATAATATAATGTTGCTCATTGGAAATAAAAAAAAGAAATGCTGGCATCATATGTTTACAGACTCTTAGTTATTTTTGGAATCTTAAGTATCCTTTTTGTGGCAGGTATTGGACGCCAGCACATTTTATAGGAACGAAGAGTGGAATCCGGCCAATTCCCTTCCACATTAACATCAAATGAGCGCTGTGAAAGCAAAGAAGAAAGTGAGGGTGAAACAGTTCCTGCAGTAGTGAGTGCCAGAAACAAGAAAAGTGCCCCGAAGTGGAAAATATACTCCCTTGAAAAGGATCCAAAAGAAATAGAAGTTATCAGGTATACCGCCGAGCGTCACAGACCTGGACACTCCATTTCAGTTTTTTAAATGCCCATGCCCTGATCAGCTGTTTACAGCAATATTTGAGGGGACCATCCTGTATTGAACTCAATGCCACCATGAACACCATTTTCGGGTTCTGGTCACACCTCCACGCAGGATGTCCTGCTTCAGATCAGGGAGGATATCCTTGACAGAATCTCCTGTACGACAACGCGGGCGGTCCTGGCCCTGGATATAAAGGGCGCCTTTGACAACGTCAGTCACACGCTGGTGTTCGAGAACTTGGCCTCAACTGGGTGCGGGCCCTGGATGTATGATTATGTGCGGGACTTCCTGAGCAACTGGATGGCCACCATCGGAATCGAGTCCATCCGCACAAGCACCATCCCGATACCGAGCAAGGGCAATCGGCAAGGCTCGGTCCTGTCACCCACCTTGTTACCTGGCGATGTGCAAGCCGCCTCCTCTACTGGAACGGATTCCCCGGATGAAGCATACACTCTATGCCACTCTATGTGGACGACCTGACGATTTGGGCTACGTCGGGATCGGACAGCGGGAGGCAAGACTTCCTCGAAGAAGTCATTGAGACGGTGCAGAACTACCTCGAG